TTTGCTTGGAAACATTCTTTATCTGAGGTTTGCCATCCGAGATTGGAGCATTCCTGCAATTACAACTCTACACCTTTTCAGCTCTTATTCTGATTGAAATGACACTAGCAAAGGCCACTGGGGAAAGGAGGGGGCCTCAAATGAATCCTGAACCTCTAGAAGTGCAAATTGTACCTGTTTACTGAATGCGGTTACTTCAAGATGAAGGGATCAAGAAGTATTTAAACATAACCTTACCATAACCTGTTCCATTATCTACAGCCCTTCTACCAAGCCAGCTGAGCAGCCTGGGAGAGAAGAGAAGTTCTGGTCTAACTGTAGACCAGAAAAACCAAAAGACACCCCCACACACACACCTCCAGCCTGTATTCCAGCTACTAGATAAATCTTTTCAGGTCTAAAGTATTTATAAGGTGGGGGGGGGATTACAGTGTTATGGGTATAGGTCTCCCCTTCCCTCCTCTGCGTGGTTGAATTATAACTTCAAAGAAAGTAAAAGTCAGACAGGTGCAGAAAAAGTATCTGTATTGGAAACAATGACGGATCATAAAATATGCGATTTAAAGGAGGGAAGCGTTTTATGAAACTAATTCGCAATGTAAAGAGGGAATGGCATGCCATTTTTATGAAATAGTATGCAAGGGGGAGGAAAGGTGGTTTTTTTTTCTTCCTTTTTGACTTGCGGGAAGCCGGTGGGTTGGGGTGTCTAATGACAATTCGCCTCGGCCAATTCACCACAGTCAACTCGCTGCAGGACAAGAATTACACTAATATCAAAGAAAACAGTTGACTCTTTGAAGGAGCAACGCCAAAGGAGGGACAGAATGAAATGCGAAGGGCAAAATTTTATATGTGTAATATATATACATACACACACACACACACACAAAATAAGAATAATAATTAAATAAAATTGTTAAAATGGTTCCGCAGCGAGCTGTCCCGCGTCAAGTTATCCCGCTTTCAAGCCTGAGGAGAACGGACTCACCGTTTTTGCCGCCCTCGCTCATCCGCCCGTAAAACGCCTCGTAGAGCCCTTCGCGGAAAGCGGCGCTGCTATTCACGCACCGGTGCTTGGAACTGCTGGTGAAGGCCAGGCGCCGACCGGGAGCCAGGAGGCTGGGGAAGCGGGAGGCAAGACGCTTGGCCAGCATCTTCATGTCGAGGAAGCCTTTGGGGGCCAGCTTCCCGTCCAGGTCCGGCTGGTACCACATCTCCCATCGCGCCAGGCGCTTCGCCAGCGAGCAGCGCTCGCCGCCGCCGCCGCCCCGTAGCAGGAGGCCGTGCAGGCGCGCCAGCTTCTCGATCTGCTTGCGGGTGGGGAAGCGCGTGCCGTGGCGTACGACGGCGCTCAGTTGAAGCGGGGTGCAGGAAGCCGGCGGCAGCGGGAAGCCCGAGAGCGGCGGCCCGAGAGACAGCGGGTCCCGGAGAAGGTACGGGTGCAGCTCTTCGTAGCGGGACTTGGTGCCGAAGAAAGGGCTCAGCAGCGTGGCTCGCTCCGACGCTTCGGCGTCGCCCTGAAGCTCCCCATTGATCAGGAGGAGGAGGAGGAGGAGCAGCAGCACCGGGCAGGTCGCTGGGCGTCCCATGGCGGAGAATGGCAACCGGCTCCGTTGAGGAGAGCCCGAATCCTCACGGCGGCCCCTCGCCTCCCTTTTGTTTTCCTCCCCCGGTGGGAGGCCGGCAAGCCCGGCGGCCACGCCTCTGCGCGGCGGCGATCCCGTGGCTTCGTTCCCTTCCCTTCTCCAAAATGGCCGCCTTTCTGCGTGACGTTTAAGCCTCTGGAAGGCCTCCTCGCCCTCAGTCAGCATGGCGCTGGCTCCTCCTCCTCTGGCTCGTTTTCTTAATCATGCTAAGGCAGGGGACTCCAACCTTGGCAACTTTAAGACTTGTGGACTTCAACTCCCAGAGTTCTGGGAGTTGAAGTCCACAAGTCTTGAAGTTGCCAAGTTTGGAGACCCCTGCTCTAACGGGCAGGACGAAATTGGAGCAGTGGTGCAGCCCAGCCTCACAGTGCAACCTTAACACAGAATAGGATAACTTAGAATAACAGAGTTGGAAGGGATCTTGGAGGTCATCTAATCCAGGGTCTCCAACCATGGCAACTTTAAGCCTTGGCGGACTTGCCATGGTTGGAGACCCCCGATCTAGTCCAACACCCTCCCTGAGCAGGAGACCCTATCATTCCAGACAAGTGGCTGTCCAGTCTCTTCTTGAAAACCTCCAGTGAACAGAGCTGAAGAAGCTTCTTGGATGAGAAATGAAAAGTCTTCAAAGAAAAACCAGAAAGTCCAGTTGCCTCTTTGAAAAAGCACCTTTGGGACAACCATGACCTGGATGGCTGAGAATCGCCATAGACCTCCAGTGATGGAGCACCCACAACTTTTGAAGGCAAGCCATTCCCCTGGTTGATTATTTTCACCTTTAGGAAATTTCTCCGTAGATCTAGGCTGCTTCTCTGCTTGATTAGTTTCCTCCATTGGTTCTTGTCTTGCCTTCTGGTGCTTTGGTAATTAGTTTGCCTCCCTCATCTTTGTTAGCAACCTTTAGTTTTTGTCTTCCGTGTCCAATGCAAGTAATGGCAAGCCTCTTTCCCAGGCCTCCAGGGAGAAGGGTCTAAAGCTAGTTTCGATAATGCTAAAATGTCAGTGACATGACATCAAGATACAAGGGATCAGGGGTCTGGCTGACAGCAGCATCTTCGTATCCTGATGCAATGGTTGCCCTCTTTTTATGGTTGTCATGGCATCTGTCAAACTTTCATCCTTTGGAAGAAAGTGATAGGTTCTCGCTCTGCACTTTCATACCCGCTTTGTGATATCACAAAGAAGTAGGTTTTTTTCTTTTTTTATTATGCTATTATAAATCTTAATACATCACATTGTTTCAGTGCAGTGATATTTCTGTTAATATGATTAAAGATTATTGACATTCTATTATTTAGATAGCTTAGAGTACAGTACTGAAAATAAAGAAGAGAAAAAAGCATTCTATCAATATTAAAGACAATTTAAGATGTCCATGTTACAAGAATAAAATTGGTTTTTTTTGTTTGAAGTTGAGTATAACGCTGAGAAATGAACCACTACTTCTAAGTATTCTATTTATTAATCAAATTTGTATGGCTGTCTATCTCACAAAAGTGATTCTGCAGGTTCTATTACCTACTATATATATTCTTATGAAACAGTCTCAAGTTGAAATTTCTATTAACATTCAATGACATATTATTTTTGAAAGAACTGTTCCTAATTGGTTCTGAATTTAAAACAAGATAATGTAAAATGATTTCTCAGTATACAGTGCAAAAACTTTCATGTCTTATAAATATACATTTCAAGATATTTACAGTGATATATATTTGTAAACCATTAACTTTCAACTACAGACCTTTTTATAATGTTTATATCTTACCATATCTGAGTTAAGAAGTAGGCGTCATTTTTTTGACTGATGAAAACTCCTGGACTCAAGTGACGAATACCAAGGTACCAGTGTATTTGCAAGAAAGGTAATTGTGGGTGTACTTTGGTTCCTGATTGACAAATGTACACATTTTCGTAAATTAATATTTAACCCTCAACATTTCTAATCTTGGCCATAGCCACCACAATTGAAAATGTGTTTTTCACTGCAGTTATTCCAGCAGAGTCTAATTTATTTTTAGTGACAGATTATAAATTCCAGCTTCACCAGAATCATATACCATCTACCAATGTTATTTGTAAGCCCAAATCTTATTACAAACCCCTTCCTTAATAACTTTTATTTCCTTTTTCAAAGAAATTTTAATTTGCCTAGTGGCAAGATCTTACACTCTAGTAAAAATGTAAAAGCAGCATATTTGTCAATGCATTGATAATATTGAATTAATTGAAATGGATGGACAAAATCAAGTAGGTGTATAAGAAACTTGTGACTGTTTCCTTGAATCAACTCTTCTCTGCTATGTTCTCCTCTACCCTGAAAAACAGGGTAGTGAAACCTCAACTATCTCTTTTAGAAATTTGGAAGTAATAAGTACCTTAAACTCGGAATAAACCCTACCTAAAATATTCTGTTAAAATAGCTAGCTAGTGAGCAATTTGGAATAGTAGTGAAGGTGTTGGTCTAGAAATAAGGAGATTTCTAGTCCTGCCTTAGACATGAAAACTAACTGGATGACTTGGGTCCAGTCATTCTCTCTCAGCCCAATTTACCTCACAGTGTTGTTGTGAGAAGATAGGAGGTGCAGGATGAGGGTTCAGGATGAGGGTGAAGGTTCGTTCTCCGAGCTTGTGGGTTGGTTTCTGAACGTTTCATTACCAAGCTAGAAAATATCTTCAGCGGAGTTATGGTTAGGGACACTGACATCCCCTAAACTCCGCTGAAGATGTTACCTAGCCTGGAAGCCAACCCACAAACTTGGAAAATGAACCTTCATCCTCAGTATTAGCTATATTCATTGCTTTGAGTTACTTATAAAATAATAAAGGAGAGATAGAAATCAAATAAACAAACTTGGCGGTCCTTCTGGATTCCCAGCTACTACTCAAAGACCAGGTGGCAGCTGTGGCTCAGAGGGCCTTTGCAGTTTTATCGTGTCCGCTAATTGCACCCTTTTCCTTGATCAAAAGGCCTTTTAGAGAGCAATCATTTCATGATTAGATTATTGCAATATGTTGTACAGGGGTCTGTCCTTGAAGACCACCCAGAAGCCATAGAAGCTTCAGAATGTAGTGATACACACAGTAACATATACCTCATGATGTACCCAGGTTTCAGGACAGTGGCCCTCTTTTCTGTGGTTTTGAAAGCTTGGCTTTGGTCCCAGGAAGTTGATATTTACTATTTGTTTGACCCCAGTTGCGTTTTGTGGTTTGATTACTTTAGTCTATCTATGTGATTTAATGTTTTTAGCCATGTTTATGTTTTTCCTAGTTACGTTTGCCATCCGGAGTCCATTGGAGTTTTGTGGCCAATAAATGTAAATAAATAAATCTGTCTTACAGAATTGTTTGGGACTAAACAAACAACTACTGAGTGTTGCTCAGTAAAGCTAAAAAACGATGCTAAAAATATGGAATGTGCTGTGGTGTGAACATGGCACCTGTGTGTAATCCTTTAAAGCAGCTATATATTTTCCCAGGATCACAGAACTGCTTTAGAAAGATGCATAGATATATTACTTTTGTACCCCGGAATAGGCCTAAGTATGTTGAGGGAATCTGGTCACAGCAAAGCTGTATTGCTCAGAATGTGTCACACAATGACCAGGTCTACCTATTTGTAAGCTTAATAGAAGTATGCCTTTTTTGTAGCTCCCAGTTTAGTGGGAAAAGAGGGAGGAAGGCCCCTGGAAGCCTCTTGTGGTATTGGAGCAGATGCAGATTATACACAGCTATCTGGGGCTCTAAAGATCAACACAAACACTCCTGAATTAAGCATCTGTGCATCTGAAAAAAATATTGGTGCCTCTAATTATATTGGTCAATCCAGTAGTGGATTTTTTTTTTTTTACTACAGATTCTGTGGGCATGGCTTGGTGGGTGTAGCAGGAGAAGGATACTGTAAAATCTCCAGTCAGAGGTGGGATTTGCTGGTTCTCCGAACTACTCAAAATTTCTGCTACCAGTTCTCCGGAACTGGTCAGAACCTGCTGAATACCACCTCTGGGTCAATCCAATACATAAGTTTGGACTGATTTTTTTCCAACCACACAGAAGAAAATTTGACTAGATGTAGTGCTTCTGATATCGTAGTAAATTAGTTCAGAATGAAAATCCTCAGCAGAAGTTATATCTCATAAATATTCTGTTTATGTTTTGTTTTCTTCTGTTAAAGAAGGAAACAGCTTCATGTCCAAAAGGCCTTAGATAGCAGCAAAACTAGAACCCATGATGGCTAAAATTAGTCCTTAGAACTCATTTCTTAGAATTTTTTGAAAGAAGTAGATGCCTATTGTCAAAATAATCTCAGTTGGGATTCTTTTTTATTTAACAGTACACAAGAGGAGGATTTAACAGCTGACTAAACATTATACTATATTAATTTTTCTCCATGTTAATGTTTTAAAGTTTTATACATTCTTCCCAATAAATTATCATCCAAATCTGAAAAAAGATTTGAAGCATAAAGAATGAGACTCAAGCAAGCAGAAAAAGTAACTTGTTCATTTAGGAAAAACATTTTGCTCTTTTCCTGAAAAGCCCAGCGGCTTCCTGTACCCATTTTAATATGACAATTATTATATATTATGTTTAAGAATATAGTACATGATCCCTTCCTTTGAACCAACTCAGCTCTTCTTTACTATATTCTGTCCTTGGAAAACAAATCACACAAATGCAATTCATACCTTTCTGACTTATGCATGTAGAAAAGATAATAAAGACTTCAAAATTCTCAAATTTTAATGAAGGTTTATCAAAACTATGTGAATGATTTGATGAAAGAAGCACCTCTCCGAATGCGCTCTTTAAAATTGCAAAGTGGCTGCATCCATTCCAAGATTGGGTGTGTACATAACCATGACATTATGGGAATTGATATAAACCAAGTAATTACAAAAACAATTATAGTATTCAGCCTAAGAAGAATTTATTCCCTAACAAATGTTTATTTTTCACATTTCTGAACCGCCCATCTCCCTTGAGGTTTTAGAAGAAGAGAAGCTGGATGTGTAGATCTTTAGAACAGATAAA